ATTATAACTTCCTATCAAATATCTAATCTAATATCAAATATTCTCTCAAATTTTAAATTATAAATTAAAACCGTCCAAGTTCTTTTCTTTTGACGGTTGTCCATGGAGGAATACAAACGATTTGTGAAAGTTTTACGCAAGAAATGTTCGTAGGTTTTAATTAAATCCATATTTCTTTACACTGTGTAACAGGGATGGGTAATCCTTTTTCAATTAGCCACAATCATTCCAACAAACTCTGTTCTTCCAAATTTATGGAGCTATACAGAAGCTTTATTACAATTTAGACGAGACAATAAACAAAAATGTAAATTCTTTAACCAGATCTAGCAAGAAAGCATTGATGTTCAAAACGTTTTATAATCAAAATAAATAATTAATTAATTAAAGTAAATGTGTAAAAAATTAAAATTTAATTTTATTATGTATTTAAACATTTTACACGATAAGATTATTATTATTATTTTATTTAGTTTTTTTAAACCATTTTTTAATTAATTGTATGAATAATACTCGGATTCAGAAATGTAAATACAAAATTATCAAAGAAATTGCTTACATTACAGACAGCACAATTTCATATAGTAACACGTTATACACAACTAACAAAAATAAGTGATAAGAAAACTTAAAAAATATAAATATTTATCGGGTTGTCCGGAAAATAATGCAGGATTTTAAGTTTTCATTAAAAAAAATCTATATAAAATATTCTGTTTACGTTTACAGGATTACTCATTTGTATGAATGNATGGCATAAGTCTGGTGTTTTTCCAAATGCAAATATTTTATTTTACCAAAAAATAATGTATTATTTATATAACATAATTATTATGTTGTCGGAGAGTTTGGACTATTAAAAGATTCTCTAAGAATGTCGGCGGTGGAAAGTATGAGAATAAATACATTTATTTAATATGATAATATCCTGTTTTTACCAAATCGTTTTTTTATCGTTTAATTTATCTATGTATGGCATAAGTCTGGTGTTTTTCCAAATGCAAATATTTTATTTTACCAAAAAATAATGTATTATTTATATAACATAATTATTATGTTGTCGGAGAGTTTGGACTATTAAAAGATTCTCTAAAAAGGTCGGCGGTAGAAAGTATAAGAATAAATATATTTATTTAATAAGATAATATCCTATTTTTACCAAATCTTTTTTTATCGTTTATTTTATCTGTGTATTTCATAAGTCCGGTGTTTCTCCAAATGCAAATATATTCTATTTTTGTTCTCACTTAATTGTAAACTAACAAAAAGTAATGTGTAGTAAGATGATCCTTGTTTTAACTTTGTATAGATTTATTTACACACAAGACATATTGCTGTCTAGTGATAAATATGAGATTTTTTCTCTTTTTCAATATACCATGAAAAGACCCATTTGTGGTTTTCCCTGACCAAAATAACAAAATATAATACTTGTCCAATTTATTTCTATACAACTTCCAAACAATTGCTGCAGTGCTATCGTCAGATGTCTATACCGCAGTAGGGGCGGCAAAAACTCATCTGCGACCAGTTGCCAGCTGATTTAATCTCTAGGACGATTAGTACAAACGCCCGATAAAATTATTAACTCTGCAGAAGTTTGCTTTGTCAAATTTATAAGATTTTTATCCAAAAGATTACAAAGGTACATTAATTTTTGTAAAGATTACAAAGGTACATTAATTTTTGTAAAGATTATAATGTATTTATTTTTTAATCCAACGTATATAAACATAAAACATAAATATCTCACTGGCACTCTCAACACGACACACAATAATGACACATCTACACAGAAAACAAACACTTTGGGAGAGTACAAATACCTTGATTGAGTCAAAAATTTCTATCATTGTATAAATTCATTTTTCACGTCCTACATGTATTTGTATATTTAAGCAATGTTTATAAATCTCAGGCCCTGAAGATGATCTCAGTAAAGATCGAAACGTAGGCACGATGAAGAAAATGTTTTTCTAAACCTACGTCCCACCAGACCGCATCGCACGATCTCCAAATAATTGTAATAATTCTTAAACTTATTAATCTAATTACAGAGCTCAACTTATTTTGAATGGTTTAAAAATAAATAACCAAAAACGTAATAGTTAATTTTAATAGTACTATGCTATTTTTGTTGTAATTTTATAATATTTTTAAGCAACCAATAAGTGCAGATTGAAGCCCAATTCTACTCACGCCGCCTTTGATTTAGAAATTCTCGCACGTTGAGAGAATCCTGAATGTAATGCCCTGGCCTTCTATGATCATTTGATCACGATAAAAGCATCGGCAAACAAGATAACACGAATGCGAATTGCCAGTTTCTTACATTACAGACTGAACTTCTAAGACATTGATGTTCTCAAAAGCTGCAGAACCATCTCTCACAAATAAATTAATTAGAAGACTTATCGATGTATACGGCCTTACAGACTTTAGTTTCATCAAATAAATAGTGAATTTAGAGGAAATTTAAATATGTATGCTCTCACACCTGAAATTAAATTTGTTTGGAAAGATCGATTAGCTTGGTGCTAGTTTTTAATCGTTAGGTGATATCGGAAACGATCAAATTTCAAAATTATCGCCACGAAAAATTCAATAAATATCTCACAATTTTTACTACTGTTCTTCACAAGCGATTTCCCATCTATACGAACAATTCGAATTGGTAAAATGCCGAAACACACCATACAGCAGGTAGATTGTAATGACAGACTAGAGAGATAAATGAAGAGAAAATTCGAAGGTTTATAGCCGCGAAGCTTTCAGCGAATCTTACAAATATTATTAAAATTAAAAATCAATCATTTTTTCATCTAAATCTAAATCGACAAATGCAGGAACACTGATAGAACAAACATTAATATTAGGAGAGTGGGAAACCAGCAGAGTCTAAATTTATCTCCTCAAAAATCTCAAAAGAGTCATGAGCGGGATTCGAACCCACGACCCTCGGCTAAATACGACGCTGCTCTACAACTTGAGCTATTTTGACTTCAATCCACTCGGGCACTAACTTCCCATCTTTTTTTTTTTTATTATTTTTTTATTGGCCTTATGATCTTGCATATTAGCCATAGTACGAATTCTTGTGTGTTCAAATTGGGGGTTATCGGGAAAAAAGGGCCAGAGGCGACGGTGGGAATCGAACCCGAGAGTCTCTCAACTTCCCATCTCAATCCCACCTTTTGAATTTTCCATCCTTTTTGCCATTTGACCACGAATACTAGTGAATTTAATAAGTTAAATGAAGTATATCTTCACGAAAGCTCTCCGTGGCCATTTCATTTGTCGCCGAGAATGGAACAGATTACACGACATTTTAAATATGACAAAGGATGGAAAATTCGAAAGGTGGGGTTGAGATGGGAGGTTGGTGTCCGACTGGATCGAAATCACGTTAGGTCAAGTGGTAGAGCAGCGGCGTATTTAGCCGAAGGTCGTGGGTTCGAATCCCGCTCGTGACACTGACTTTTTTATCTCCACCAATGCCTTATATAAAGATTAATTAATTGAAAACACGAACTCTAATGCATTTAATTTCAAAAGATTTCACAATTGTTTGCTACAGTTAAAATTTAATCGATTTATCATCCAACGACATCACTTTAGATGGAAAAACGTCCAATATACTGACAAAAGCAGCGAGAATAGTAGGACTAGTTGAATTGAAAACTACTAATGTCCAGATTTATCGTGCGGATCACCTCAAAAATAAATCTCACAATTTTTCTTGCAGCCCAAAACCAGTCAATTTTTCATCTAAAAACCATCACTGGTACTGATAAAATGCCTATCGTTATCAGACCTCAACCGTTAGAATAATAGGACAAAAACGATGTAAAACTACAAAACTTAGGGTTTATTTACACGATGATCATTAACAAGAATCTCCTTCTGTGGGGGGGGGCGTCGGTGGCAGCAACGGTTTATGCGTTGACACGGCGCTCATCACTATAAGGTGAAGGTCCCGGGTTCGAATCGAGCGGCCTTGCATTCGAACCCGACATACTTGCAAATTGGCTTTTTTTCAAAAACATCGGCACCCTGAGGGTTTATATGACCTCTGCTGTCGCGAACCCTCGTAAAATATAAAAGAATCTCCTGATTTTGGCTAAAGTTTATTTGGCATTCTATGGGCGGCTACGCATATGCGATTTTCAGTCACGTGGAGTCAGAAAATCGTACGTGCCTAGCCGCCCTGAGCATCAAATCCATAATTACTTCCAAAAATGGTAATTATTTGTAAAAAAACGTATATAATCAAAAAGCTACTTGAATGAAAAAAACAAGTAAAATAAGTGTTTATTTTTCACTTATAATACAATTTAATATATACTTTGTTGTGTTTTTAGTTAATTAATTTTGTAATTATAAACAGCATTCTGTCTCTTACTTTTGGTATATATAAATACTCACTTCGTATTTCTACATAAGTGTATTTAATTTATTTGTATATTACCATCTATCGTATATATTGCTCGTAATCGTGAAGTCTCGTATCGGCCTTTAAAGGATAAATACTAAAAAATTGTGAGATCAGTAATTAAGCCACGATGGGACCAAATTGTTTTCTGATGATGAGCTTTCGGGCTTCTTTGACGCCTTCCTCAAGATTCTTTTTAATTAAGAAAATTAAAAAATACACATCACACATATACATTTTATGGCTGTTTAAATAACTTATTTGAAAACTGGGTAGATTGGTACCTTTTGGTAATGCAACACTTGAAAATTACGAGTTCGTATCATTTCCTAAAGTTTTTATAACTAAGTTTTTAGGTAATAAGATTGTAATGAAATTAGGCTTATTTGTTTTCAATTTGCACTTTAAACAACTTGTAGCTCAAAATTGTCATTTGGGAACTTATTTCGTTTTGTTAAAAGTTTATATTATGCGAAGCAATTAAAACTTTCTGGTGCTTAAAGGATTTGATTGAATTAGATGGTTACACATGGTTATGAGTAAAAATATATTTTTTCAAATGTTTCAGAGGGCGATATGGAAAAATGGAGAGGAATGTTCGATTTAAACGTCCTCTCTCTTGGAGCTGCGACTAGAGAAGCTGTCGCCTCAATGTTAAAGAATGACATAAACGACGGTCATATAATTAATATTAGCAGGTAATTACATCATTAAAGTAGTCTTATTTAAACTTAAGAATAATCGAGCGGGTGTTTGCCAAATAAACTAAAGACACATGTGAAAACTGAAATTTAATTTGTTACAAATGGATTTTTGTTAAAACGTTTTATTGTATAAGGGGATGTTTATTTAAGTAAAGATAACAGTAAAACAGCTTAGAAAACATTGATCCAACCCGTGGGCCAAGGGGTTGATCTGATTAGTTTTGGAGGGTGGTCGAGGTAAAAAAAAAGCAAAATCATATCCTATCTGGGTCGAGTCCTACATGGTCGGAACTGAGGAAAATGTTTACCTTTAAATTTATAATCTGGGGAAATTCGTTTTTCAGCATATCAGCACATCACCCACCAACTGATCTAGGCAAACACGTGTACAACGCCACAAAACACGCCGTAAGAGTGATCACGGAAGGAATCCGTGCGGAGTTGACTAATCTGAAGTCAAACATCAAAGTTTCCGTACGTCGAAAGTTTTAATTGTTTTTTGATATCAATTAAACGTTTTAATTTTTTAGATGGTTAGCCCTGGTGTTGTGGCGACTGAAATATTCGATGTAGGCGGTTGGGGTACATACAACTTCGACCTCATCCCTGCTTTGGAATCTCAGGACGTGGCCAACGGCGTTGTGGCCGTTTTATCAACCCCGCCGAACGTTTTGGTAATTCTCCAATTGGTTTTAGGTTATACTCCCTGAATTAACAATTTTTTGCTTCCAGGTTGCCGAATACATAGTGCGCCCCATGAAGGAGACAGTTTTTGCATAATCTAGTTACATTTTTTATTCACGAGTCTATGTCCAGCAATGCTTAATCATTTGTAAGCCCTTAATAAAGCTATCGTTGTGTGCAATATGTACGAAATTCTATTTTATATATCAGTCGGCGTTGGAGAATCGATGCGTGCCTGTTTAAAATAAATTCTGACGGGGAACCGTGGTTAAAGGAATGTAACCGATACCGCAAGCCAACCGCACCCGGAGCAACTTATCTCAAATGACGTGGAGTAGACGTATAACAAGATCCTCCTTTAGGAACCTCTAAAAGTCACCATTAGAGTATAAGTTATACAATCCAAAGGGGCAGAATTCGATTGGTTGATTTTTAGAAATAATTGTAAAAAGAAAAAGTACAATACGAACATTGCTAGTAGATTGAGTCCTATTAAAATTAATTTAATATTTACATGGTTTACAACACGAAATAATTGATGATACTACAAGTTTATACCAGTTTAAGTTCACACATTATTTATTTCTTAAGTTAGGGGTTAACAATTGCAAAAACCTTTTTGGCGATGTCACCTGCAGTTTCGTCGATTCCGGTCATTTTGCTCTGCCTATCCCAGGCTGTTTTTGTCTGTAATGAAAAAGGGTTCTAGCAAATCTCCATTTTTAATAGGCAGTTTGTGTCCAAAACATAAAAATTAAAATAATATGCATTTCCATACTCATATCCCTGTCGCCTTGCCAACTAAAGCAATATCTGAAAATGCGTTTATATATATTCAGGCAGCCATTTTTGTTGGATTCGTGAGGGGCGTTCGAGAATGAGGTCGTTTAGAAAAAAAAACACCTTTTTTTTCCGACGTTTCGATCTTTATTCGGGTCATCTTCAGACTGGGTAAATTTGGAGTGGAAAAAATACAATACAGATGTAAATATAAACTTTGGCCAATATGCTAGACCATAAGGCCAAAAAAAAAAAAAAAAAAAAAAAAAAAAAAAAAAAAAAAAAAAAAAAAAAAAAAAAAAAAAAAAAAATATAAACTTGAACGGAGTATTTCATACTCACATATAGTAGTGCTCAATAGCACCACACTTTATGTGAGTAGGAAATAATTAGTTCAAATTTCCAAATGAAAAAGGTGTTTTTTTAAACTACGTCATTTTTGACCGCTCCTCACGAATCCAAAAAATTATTAAACAACCGGCCACTAAAAATACACATTTTTTAAAATTATTTTTTTAGAATTATTTCTACATTAAAACATGAAAGAAATAAACCTTTCACTTGAAAATGTTATAGGATGTTAAAACGCCGTATTTGAACATTTCTTTAACTACTTTCTAAAAAAGGTATAAAAACCGAGAAACTATCCATATTATTGAACAACCAATTCCAGTTTTAAAGATGAACAGTTTAATAATGAACGATATATTCCAAGAGAATGACCTGTAAATGGCCCTTCGAGCACCTCGGCCGGAGAAGAGGGATCGTTCTCACCCGATTGAGGATTGGCCATATGCGTTTGATACATGGCCACCTGCTTTTGGGCCAAAGCCTGCATAGGTGACCCTTATGCACAGATAAGTTGCTCGATGTATCCCACATAAAATGCAATGCCTTGACTCCATATGGAGAGCGTGTAAGCATACCTCCGGATTTAAGTATGGTTCTCGAGCACAGCAGTCGGTTTTAGTTCCTTGTTCCGTTTTCAATAGGTAGTGGGGATATTTTTTGGGATACATATAGTTATATTTGTATAAATATATTATATGTGTTTTGTTTTAATGCGTGTATTTATATTTTGAGTTGTGAGGAGTATGGTGACATATAGTGTCACCAATGCCCATCTAGCAGTGTGTTTGGTTTGTCTTGATGGCAGAATATTTTTAAAAGTTCCTCCTGGACACTAATTTTGGTTAGATTATTAATACTGTGTACAGGTCGATGGAAGAATAACCAGTACTCCACCGACTAGTAGAGGATAGTATCAACCCAGTCACATAACGGGGTGGGTGAACTGTTGGATCTGTAGACACACTACTATAGTCAACAAATACGGAAGTGACAACTCTTTGGGGTGAAAGTTCGTAAATGAGACTGTTGAGCAGATTAAATTGTTGAAGTTATCGATCAATCTAGTTAATAAAATCAATGTACTATTTACTAATTTATTTAGATCTATCTGTGGCATGTTGCTTCATAGTTACGACAAAAATATGAACGTTTGTTCATTGTCCGAGTGATTTAGTGAAATATCCATTTTTGATTACTTTTTATTGTTTTACTTTTGATCGTGCTAGTAATAATTTTTACAGGACAGCGATGACCGTGTGGAGTTGTTCGTATCGTATTTGCCACGATTGCGGTTCGGGTTCGAATCCGGAAGAACTCATAGAATTTTAATTGAGATTATTATGAATTAAGTTTTGTTAAGTGGTTGAACCTCCTCTCCACATTCAGCTTGTAGTTGAGATTAGCTTGTAGTTAAGCCATCCTGTATGACAGGAATTATGCTGTTATCCGTTCATTTAAGCTGTTGTCCAATTTCTGCTTTGTTCTACAACAAATTGCTTTATGCGTTTTGAAAAATAGTTATGATATTTTGCATTGGTTTGGAAATTAACTCACCTTTGGTAAATATGGCCAGGTAAAAATATTGTTTTCAGATCTGCTAAATTGTACCGTTGGATTCTCATGTTGCAATTTGTAATGACCAATTAAACTCAAATACAATAGGTATTTGTTACATAGTCTTAGTTAAAAATGAATTACATTATTCTTAGTTAAGAATGAATTAGCCAGCATGGCAAAAGCACCACTTGTCTTTCCTTCAGCATGGTAAACCAAAAGTAGGGTTTGAAAATTCATTCACATTTGGTAAATATGGCCAGATAAAAATATTCCTTTAGTAAATGGTTTTAAGGAAAAAACAACTGAACATGCATGAAAAATCTTTTCTACCAATAATTTATACAATAAATTTAGTTTGAAATCTAAACATAATAAAATAAGAAGTATGGAAAATGAAAATACCACGTGGTATAAATACAAAAATGAATTTTTACAACTGAAATAGCTCAAGGAATATCGAGTACTCTGGGGTGAGTGTATGACGTCTGGAGGGTAAAAGTAATTTATTAGCGTGAAAGGACGGGGTTGCTTACAACCCCGCCCCGTGGAATATCGAGTACTGTGGGGGAATGAATGTGACCAGACATCTATTTTTGAGGTGATGTATATATGTATATGTATTGTATATTTTCTTTCTATTCTGTATTTGACAACCTGAGGTACAAACGAGAGGCTAGCACTCTAGGATATCAACGTAGTATATATTTGAAAACAGAGAGTCAGTAACCAGATCGAGACGCTCAAATGGCTGCAGTTTAAAACAAAATACGCGTGAAAGAAGAGAAAAAGAAGAAAAACACGCAGACGGCCGGCGATGACTTCAGCTGTTTGTCGTCCAACCATTAACTCTCCACTTTATTACAACTGAAATTTGAATGGTATATAATTATAATGGAAAACCGAAAATTATTGCTTACTACATCCCATTGTTAAATATTATAAAACCATGGTAACCTTTTAAATTAAGCAATAAATTGTTTAACAAACATTTATTTTACACTGCTTACTATACCTGTTAGGCATAATTCAAAGCTTTCATTTTTGCACTCAAATTTGAGAGAATCGATATTGAACAGCAATTATTAAAAACAAATTCATGTTAAAATATGAAAAAATATAGTGTCGATTGTAATTGGCCATTAGTACAAATTAATAACTTAGTCGGAATATATTCAAACGAATTTGCATTAGGGTATTTTCTCCGCTCCACGGCAAAACATTACGTCTTGGATGTATAACCTTACTCATCCTTGACTTAATGTAACTATATTAGCACAAACCGTAATACTAACACTAATCCTATCTCGACCTTTTGTAACCTAAAGGACCCTTTCCTTAACTTTAACCTAAAGCAAGCGTAACCTAACGCAACCCATGCGCACTCCGATATTGTAAAATCGATGACGTGAAGACGATCACGCAAAATAAACTTGCGTGCCCAGCCCAGAAACATATCCATCATTTAGAATTTTACGATTGCTGAAAATGATTTAGTTCTTAACATCTCAATCCTGAGAATTCAATTATATGATTAAAAAATAATAGTAGTTGAGAATTGACCTGCCAGTTAAAACATATATTTGAAAATATTCCTGTCAAAAATATATTTTGCGTTCACCCTTTGAATTTTAATTAATATATTTTCTTTTGTAAGGTCAGCTCCCTCTGTTTATAATAATCTGGTTTAGGGCTAAAGGTTTTCTTTCAGCAAAATTCCTTTTATTCACCCAAATGGTCTCCGTCAAAAGATTACTCGATGTTTCCTGAATTAGATTCTTAGATAACCTTCTTCAGACAACAGTCTGTTTACTTTATTTACAATTTTTAATAACCCACACGATATTAATCGAAAAGAAAATTGGAGTAAAGCTAATAATTTCATTGATCTGTCTCTCCATATAGTAAATGATTATAACATTTTATAAAATTTTAAAAAAGTATACATTTTTCATTCATCAATTTGAGCCAAAGTATTGATTTAACACAATTGCTGCAAAATCTGATCCTTAAGCTACAAGTGATCTCTTAGGGTTGTTGAGGGTGTTTTATTTCTCCACTTTTATTCAGCCGAGTGTCAACTCTCTTATGGGTTTTTCGATTTTTTCCTATTCCTTTTCTGATAGTTGAAATAAATAGAGGGATATAAATCGAAAAGGCAATTTGTATAAAAAGTGTGCTAAAGTTTATTTTTCATGAGGTAAGAGTAAGACTTTATTCAAAAATCTTTTTTGTATCCCCGATTATGTTTTTAAATTGTAAATATTTGGACATGCTACACATAAAATAAGGTAATATATGTAAAAAAACACATACAAAATCATTCACTCTTCTCACTTGTTTTGGATGTTTTTTACTTAAAGTTTTCCGTGGATTAGCTGTAAGTTTTAACCATACCAATTAGCTAACAAATATATTCACATTTTAAATAGAGTTTTATTGCAATTTTAGTAAATTTTAAAAACCATACATGTTGAATAGGCTTGCTAACATTATAGCATT